GCCTGCGCGATCCTCCAGGAGCAGCTGGAGCATCGCAGAGACGCTAGTACGCATGCGTGCACCGCGCGCCTGCACGAGGACGCCGCCGGCCCCGTTCCAACCGAACCGGTTGGAACGGGGCGAGAAACCCACTCCTGGTCGCCGTGTACATACAAAAAACCCAAACCAATAGCTCTTTTATCCGTGATGAAAAAACCTATGGCACGCATGCCACAGGTGACATGCGCAACCATTTGTTAGAGCACGTGAGGCCAGCTGACTTTGCCCTTCAGTTCAGGAACAGAGTTCTGATTTGCGTCTTGGGCCGTTTTTCGCGCTGAAGCGGAAGTGGCTTCTGGTTTGCCCCTTAGGGCCATTTTTCGCGCGCCGGAGGCTTCAGGGAAGTCTCCTGAAGCTTCCGGATGGCCTCCGGAGGGGCTGTTTTCGCCCTCCCCAGGCTCCTAGAAAGCCTCTGAAGCCTAGGGAGGGGGAAAAATGGATCCATGGTGCACCAAAAACGGGGGATGTGAGTCACTTTTTCAAGTGCCGCTGTAACGTCAAACGGTCACTAAAAACGAACGGTTGTAAGTCGAGGACTACCTGTATGTCGGTGCCCCCTTGTGATCTGAAGCACCTTCTCATAAATTAACTTAAAATGTCCCCACAGTTCTGATTAATCGAGTAAACAGAGTTGGAAGGGACCTGGGAGGTCTTCTAGTCCAACCCCCTGCTCAGGCAGGAAACCCGATATCTGTGATGGAAAACTTACGGCACATGCGCCGGAAGTGGCACGCAGAGCAATCTCTCCAGGTATATGATCTGTTGTCCATTGCTGTTCTGGGTTCTGGCGTGTCGGCCAGCTGGACTTCACACATGTGGGAGTGCCAGAAGAGCAGCTACCCGGTGCACATGTGCTTGCTGGGAAGATAATCTGGTTTCCGGCGCGCGCATGCGCTCCGGCCCACTGGTCTTTGCGTGCGAATGTGCACCAGAAATTGGAAGACCAGATGGCTGGTGCACATACGTGCACTAGAAGCCAGAAGATCATCTTCCCGGCACGCGCATCAGTGGTGGGTTCCGGGCGGTACGTACCAGTACGGGCATACAGGTAGTAGCCGAGAGCAGTGGCCACCGTTCCGATATGGTGGCTTGTTTGGCCCACCCGCCCACCAGTGGTGGGTTTCAAATTTTTTTAGCACCTCTTCTGTAGGTGTGGCCTGCCTCTTCTGTAGGGAGTGGCTTGCCGGCCATGGGACCGGGTAGGAGTGGCTTGCCGGCCATGTGACCAGGTGGGAGTGGCTTGCCGGCCATGGGACCGGGTGGGAGTGGCTTGGCAGCCATGTGACTGGGTGGGCGTGACCAACTTGTAAAATGTGGTGAAACTCACTTAACAACGCTCTTGCTTAGCAACCAAAATGTTGGCGGCTCAGAAACTCTGGCATTGAAGTGTGGAAGTCTTAAAGCTGTCAAGTTACAAGACCCTTGCAACCCCAACCCTTTAGAAAGAAAAAACCTAGGAGTGTTCAAACTTGACAGCTTTAAGACTTGTGGACTTCAACTCCCAGAATTCCTCCTCTCGCTCTTCCTCTTGATGCTGTGCGGACCGGCGGGGGGAGGGAGCTGGAACCGGTTCTAAACAGCACTGTAGATTTGAGGAAGCTCTTCTATAGAAGAG